GTTGCAGGATGCATCTGAACAAACTATAGAAGGTAAAAGATCCTGATAATTACCAGCATGGATTTCTCAGAAATGCAGGGACAGCTGATACAATACAAGGGGCCATGAATGTAAGAACTGATGGCAGATATCCAAGTGCACACTGAGAAGCATTAACAAACATGCACACATTCTCTCAGTTCTTATCTGAGGAGATGACTGCCCAAACTACTACGCACTTTTTTTACTCTGTAACTACGCTGATCCTTATGATCCCTGTACCCACAGACCCTTACCTCCCAAAGGTTAACACTGAAATTAGTTACTCAAGGTTCAGGGTAGCTACATTGCTGTCAATATAAGACTGCTCCCCCAAAAAAACACAGTGCTGCCATTTCATAGAGGACATAAACGGGAACTTCATTCCAATGTTCCTTGAACTTTTCAGGAATAGAAGTGTGCAAAAAGCAGAATCTTGCTGGTTTTGTCAACAACAGAGATTGTGTTCAGGCTGGGTAGACACCTTGAAAAACATCTGTTCTTCTCATTAGCAAAGAGATGATAAACACCAATTTTAATGTACTGAAAGTACATCAGAAAGGTTAATGAACAATTCACTACCACCAGGATCTGCAGAGATTTACACTCTGTGCTGGGCACAGTTTGTGAGAGAAATGTGACTGGATGTTCACTCCCTGCCATCACTTCCCATCCACTCTAAGGTCAATATCACTCCATATGAGATTGCAAACGGATTTAAAACATCTAGGTTTAAGCTTTAGTTGGGTGGGATACAAGTCATACCCCACAATGTTCAGATGCTGTCTGAACAGCCAAAAAAATTATTTCAACTTTCAAGTATCCTACTTTCTTCTTGCATCACTTACAATATAGCCCTCCAAAAAGAAGAAAGTCTGGCACTAAATTCTGGGCCAGACTGCCTCGAAAACTTTTGCTAAAGTGCCAACTACCTTTTTATGCCTTCACTATCATGCCTGAAACTAGCTTATGCAGAAAGCGCAGAGTAAAATCCTGATGAGGTTAATGGTTCCATCCAGGCCCTCCATCAACGATTTAGTTCATTGGATGTTGCATCAGCTACAACACAAAATTTATAACTCAGCGTTGCTAAACTTCTCAGTTTCTTTTGGCACAGGCCTTGGAAATGACAACTTGGCAATGAAGCCTTGGATCTTGAAGGGTCTTTAATTTGGAGAATAACAAATGTCAAGAACTCAAATTCAAGCAGGATCCTTGCAGCATCAGGACTGCTGGATGCCAGTGCTATCACCTAGCAGTTCCAGTCATGTGTAGGCACTAATATGCAGAACTACCTCATCACCTATAAGCATATACACAAGCACAAGAAGTACTCCACAGTAATAGAAATCAATTCTTGCTCTAAGGGTTTGGAACAGTGGACTTGACAAGCAAGTGCTGATGGGGAAATACTTCAGGAATAAAACCAGGCAGGAATGACATGGCTTACAGATGCATGACTACAGTGTTACTCATTTGAGACATGTCTCAAAACTGTGGTTTGGGATTGCTCTAAAATGACGTATCTAGCTTCTTTTGGTTTTGCAGACAATGTCACAGAAATGATTTTCAGAACAGTTTGCATGAGGCAATGTTGGTAGCTTGACTAACAGATTTCAGAAACATACTCCTACTGCAGGAAGGTTTGGAAGAGTTTGTCAGAGAGAGATTAAATGAGTATCAGGGCTGTCATCATGGGTAGACTGGAAAGGAATACACCCATATTAGTCAATATGTACTTTCAGAACAACAAGGAAATATTTACTCAGCACCAAGGGACAGTTTTAGAAATAGCACCAAGTGAACCCTTAAAACCTGTTTCCAGAGTTGAATATTAGGAAGACATTCTGCTTTTGAGTAACAGCATGACATTCTTTTCCCTCATGATAAAGTTCATTGAGATGACAGCTTGAGCTGCAGACAAGAATCCGACCACTGGGGAAACAAACCCTCTAATAGCCAAGCTCCTTTCACACTCACTTTACTTTGGATGCTCTCTCTACATCCCAAGAGGTTTTGCATTGCTATTCTGAGATTAACTTGATCACTGCAGTTCCCTCAGAGGTCTCCCAGCAGGACTTTGCTATTGATTCCAACTCAAACAGATCACTGCGATCTACATCAACAGGATTAAATTAGCCCTGCCATGTCCACATTCTTTACCTCGTCTCTTGTTATCCGGCACTCTAAGTATACATTCTTCTCTGAAGACTGTAACAGTAATGGGTCCTAACTATGCCAGCTATCATTGTAAGCCTTTATCATTGTAAGCCTTTGAACACATGGAAGCAAAGCATCTGGAAGGAAAAAACAAGTCAGAAGTTTACCAATATAGTGTGAAATGGGTTCAATCTTCTGTTTCCTTTGCCTGGAGCTAACAATTTGCTTACCCATCGGTATTAGTTGTTACACTGAAAACATGGAGGTCAGTGATGACCCATTTCTCCCATTGCAGAGAAAAATTAAGAAATATTACATAACAATCATTTCTGTTTCAATTTACTGACAGGAGTCTTTACTTGTCAGTAGATGCTTCAGGAAAGAACAAAAAACTACGTTCAAAGAACAAGTACAATGGATAACACATTAGATGACCCATGGAAGGCTGATCAGAAGTTCTGCTCCTGCATAGCACAGTCCCATGGCATTGGGCAAAAGCCTGAAACACCTTTCCCACCTAACCTGAACCTCAGAAGTACCCCATGTAAAATAGAAAATTAAAAGACAAAGCCAATAAATGCAATAAACTATTCATGAACTTTTTTAAACTGTTAAGAAAGAAAAGAACCACAACCAATGTTGGCACATTTTTGGGTGCTTTTATTTTTTATATAAATATGGATACACACACATACATGCATGCACATATATACCTAAACAGATATTTCATGCTCTACTAGGTATCAGCTGAAGATTACACATGCCAGAATTCTCAGTGCTTTGGACTGATCAACCAGCAAACCAATTCTCCAAAACAATCACAGGCAAATAAATTCACACTGGTGCGAGTAGGTCGTTGCTTTCTAGGCCATGATACTTGTAGTGCAAGATTCTCAAAAGCAGCCAAGCATCCCACCACCTCATAAAACAAGTTTGTCTGAACGGGCAATTATACATCACTTGCAAGATTACCAGCGAACTTTCCAAACAAGCCTTGTGTGTACCATCCTCTGTGCTGTTCTAACAAATCCAGGAGGAGAATACACTATGAGTTCTTATAGCTAGGAAAAGAAAAAACTCAACCAGAGCTGCACAAAAGCACGCAGAGGAAATGTGCACATATTCACAGACAGATATCTGTCCCAAAAAACTCAGTACAGCAGTCATTATTCTGAAGCCCTTCTAAAATTATCACTCTTTACCCCATCTAAAAGTTCCTACTGTTCTCACCTATACTAGTTACACTGATAATTCTGGAATTCTGGTCTTAAATAAATCAATTTTTATCTAATAATTCCACAACTTATACCCCCCAGCAAAGAATAATTTGGCAGAAGTTAAACTACAGGTCACCTGAAAAACATTTCATGTCAGACACCTTTCATTTTCCATGGTATGCCCCCTACATAACTGACATATTAAAAAGGTGGTGGAGGTAGGATAAATACAAGCAGGGTTTGAGGTTGGCAGGGAAATGGAACTCTCATGGTCAGAAACAAAAAAAACCCAAACCTCAAGAACATTAAGTTTGCTCTTAGTTTTTAAAAGCACTCAACCTACCTCCTGTCAGATCAGGAAGTCTCTATCAACTTATCCAAGGAATCCCAAAGAAAGAGATATTTATTATGAAGTGAAGAAAGTATGCAAGGATGTTTCTTTGTGGGTATTTTTCACTGACTTTCTTCTGGGACATTTATCAAGTATGATTATTTGATCTGGAGTTTGTGCTAGGAAGCAAAATTCCCTCCAAGATCATGCATGCATCTCACCTAAGCCAAAGTCACCCTATTTTGCAGGAGTCTTACCATTCTGGGTTCCCCCCCCACCCCGTTTTTGGTCAAAAGGTGCTACATAGCTAAGGGACCCCGTTGAGAATGAGCCAGTGCAGGCCATAAAGAAGATGAGAGATCCTCTTTCTAATCTTGCCCTCCTTCCAGCCCTCTGTGATCTTGTTAGACCTTTGTCTAACTTTTTTTTTAACAGCTTGCCTTGCCTGCAAATGGCCCATCAGTCTATTTCAGTGTCTGATCATAACCCTCCTGTTTGACTTTTGCTCCCTCCCCAATACCCGCTCATTTTCAGTCCTTTACAGAACTTGAAAGTTTTTCTGCTGAAGGTGTGCAAGACTAAAAATACACAACAGTTCTCCCTCACCACAAAGCAGCCCATTCACTCGCATCAAATTGCTGTCATTTAATCCCAGGTTTTATCTTGACAGAGAACAGTTTATTCCTTTCATTGTTGCAATGACCTTTTTACATATTTAAAAGACTTACCGCTCCCCAGAGTCTCATCTCCTCTAGACTAAAAGCAACCCCCTTTTCTTCAGCCTTCCTTGTAAGTCATCTTATCTACAACTCCAATTTCTCACCTTGAAAAAAGTTAAGGTGGATTTTTCTCCCCAAAGCAACACTTCATTCAGTGTTGCAGTACAGAAGAGAGACATCACATGTTTTTGAAGTTAAAAGAAAACACTCAATCTTGGCAAAACCCTAGACTTGCTCTAAAACAGCATCATTCTTCAACACTTTAGAAAGCAGCACTGCATCTGTTCTGGAAGTAACTGGACAGCCTGCCTTTCAGTTGCAAACAGAGCCTCGATTGAATCGCCCCAGAGAGGCCAAGAGAAACCACAAATGTGTGAGGACACTGGAGTCCTGCAATACGCCAAGTTCACTACACTGAGAAAAGCAAGAATCCGTAGCACAACTACACTGTTAGTTATGCAAGAGTCAAAAGACAGCCTAGGGCCACAGATGAATCAATAAAATGAGGTTAGGTTTAATAGGAAGTGTTTATTTCAGTACTACACAGAGCTGAAAAAATATTTAGTGCTTTTTCAGCAGCAGCTCAAGTGGCAGGTTATAAGTTACAACAACATAGATGATATTAGAACATTGTACTCAAAAAACTCCCACAGTCAACTACTTGTTTCAGATTCCTCACTTTTACTGAGCTGCTGTAGATTACAGAAGTTGGTAAATGAGCTATATAACCCATCCCACTTGCCATATGTCCCTTTCAAATTATTTAGCAGAATGGATTGCTGCTGGAAACAGTCTCATCTGAGATGTGCAACCTTCTTTCATGGGCAGGAGGGAAAGTGGAACAACAAGGGTCCTACCTACTTCCTCTCTAACACCAGTTATCATTTACTTCAAAGAAGGTACCAAATGGGAAGATGGCATCTGTCCCATTTTGTTCTCCTGCTCAAAGAACAGCTAACAAAATAACACCAAAGAACTTGATATGTATGTTAAGCAGGACCTGAAGGTCAAGAACACATACAACATATGTCAATAAATAACTACTTTTCAGTTAGAGCCCAAAGTGCTGTCCCACGTGATTTTACAGAACCACAGCAGTTGTATCCATGCTATGGGTGACTACATCATTTGCTACAAGTAGCAATTTATCAGTTTTGTGTTCCTTACAGACTGTCACTTCATCGCAACTTACAGAATCTTCTGGAGGTCTCTGAATCTTCCCCCAGTCCACAGATGGTCCCTTTTCTTGTAGGAATCTATGAAATAACTTCTTAAATCCTTCCAGGTCCTTTTTAGCGTGCTACAAAGAAGAAATGCATTAGTTAATGCTGGTATTCAAGGCACATCTATTCAATCATGGAAGCACTTCTACAAACTTGAGGTAAAATCTATTAACAAGAGTAATTTTATCAGCATGGAAGTAGACACATGCTAAAATTTACGTAAAATTCTAAAAGGTACCAAAAGCTAAATTTCCACTAAAATTCAATGTAGAATAGAGATTGGTAGAATCCAATCAACTTGGATAGCTAAAAGACAAGTCTTTAGTCAAAACCATAACCATTAGAAATTGGCCCAATCTTTAGGACAACAGCTTTACCCTCCCTTACTGTAATCTGTTAAAGATTACATAGAACCTTTAATAACTAAAGATGATTAAGCACTTAATAACAACTCTGTCACCCAGTTCATATGGAACTGAAAGTCTCCTGCTGACGTTGTATCCAGGCTACTCTTCCACACAGGATCAGAGCATGTCCTAAAAATAAGGATTGTAGTATTCTGTGATTTCTCTCCCTGTATAATATTTGCCTCAATTTCCTGCATCTAATTTCTCATGTTTTGAGTTACATCCACAGCACACTCCTTACCTCTAGCTCATTTGAAGGTGCAGTCGCAAGTATCTTATCAAGTTCTACTTTCATTGAATACTCCAGCTCTTGTCGAATGACTTCCTGAAACTGTGAAGTGCCAGCTTGAGACATTGCTTTGCTGAAATCTTAAATAAAAATAAAAACATAGGTTAAAGGAAAAAGCAGAAAATTAGCTCATTTAGACTACAAATAGCTTTCAATTTTCTTTTAAAAATTAATACACTCATATAACCTAGTCTTATGTTATTACTGTGCTAGCACTGCAGGAACCTAAATTTTTTGTTCTTAGTAACTTGGAGAACAGACCTTATATTGGGGACACAGAACACAGAACAACCATCCTTCTCTTAAAACTTAAAGAAGTCCCCAAAGACCAATGATCCATCTCAAAAAGTGTCCAAAAATCCAGCAGTACACTTTTTTGCTAGAGAGCCAAAGAATTCACATCCTACTGCATCAACATACTTTAGCAAGTGCAAGTGTGAAAAACCTTTTCAGTAAAAAAATTCTTTTATGTAGAACATTGTGATTGAGGGTATCCTTCTGTTCACACAAGCAAATAAAAACATATGCTTTAATTACTTATACGGTGCACTTTCATACGATCTTCGGTTTGTTCCAGTAAGTATTCCCTTACTTTATTGTATGAATATTTTCACACTATAGCATGCATTTCAGTTACTAAGCAACCTAGAAAATTAGTCTGTCTCTCACTTCAGCATTTGTTTTGCTTTTGACAGTGATAAGCTCCAGAAACGTGAAAAAGAGTAAATACACAAATGTTCTATACAGTAAAGTCCACATCGCAGAATGAAACAGCAGATAACATGACTGTTTTCCAACAGAAAGCATTTGAAGTGAATGCGTTCTCAAAAGACATTCTGAGTATGTTCTCCAAAGACCTCAGTTAATTTAATTTCTGCCAAATCCCTTGAGTAATCACTTCTCTGTAACACAGAGAGTGATGTATTGCCAAATATAGCTGGATTTTAGAAACACCCTGAATACTAGTGCAAAAAGGGACAGGAGGAAACTTTGCAAGTGAGCAGAGTGATACTGCCAGAAAATATTCTTAGAAGAGGAACCTGCATTTAAAGTTTCTTATTTAGAACAAGTGTTAAAAGGCTTTTCTATTGAGAACATCTAGGAAAGCAAGAGGCAGTCCATTTTAATACAATTTTGGGTTTATTTTACTTTTTTAAGCAAAGTATTCCACAGCCTCAGACTCAGTGACAGTATCTAATCCTTGCTTTGAAGCCCACAGAAGCCATTTTCCTGACTGCACTGTTTTGCAGGTAGGGGAGGAAAAAAAAAAAAAAAAAAGACAGACAAGTGCTGCAGTGCACATACTGTGTGTGGTGCAACACAGGGGAAATGCCAGCTCAAGATGAACAGTACAATGCACAATAGGTTCTTTTTTTAATGAAACACTCCATTTAGTAGTAAAAACAGGTAATAGTTGAAAGCCTGTTAGGCGTATCTTTCCAGGTCAAATATGAAAAAACACAGACAGCTCTTCACTAGGAAGCACCTCCTCCTACAGAAAAATGAGGAGGTCTATACCGACTTAATGCTTTCGTACCAAACTGCTACAAGTACTGTCTTTTCATTCACACATTGTGGGGTGATGCATACTGAAATACTGTTTAAACTTCTAGTGAAACAACTGCTAGGAGATACTTTCATACGTTTGTAATCCTCCCTGCAACATGTTGTAATAAACGACTTCTGTAACAGCAACAACAGTGGCCATTTCTCACAGTTCATCAGCCGGTAAAACATTTGAACCGCCCAATATGATGCAACGCATCTCTCAAGAAACTCGACAAATATCAAGTATTCAACAGAGACTGTCATTCACACTGTTAAACACACTGAGGCTAAGTAAGTCAGAGCCAGCTAGCAACTTTCCCAGGCTGCCAAGTAAGTAGGAAAATCTTGTTCGCTCTTACTCGCCAAAAGACTTGTATCTTCCAGATAAAAGCATTTAGAGATTAAGTAACATCACAAACAAATGAAAAGAAAAAGGCATCGTAAACGTAAATGCGCGATAATGTCCTAGTTTGTTGGTTTTTTTAACTAATACTATAAATTTTCCACAACCTAATGAGCAAGTGCTAAACACAGTTGATCACCAACATCCTCACAGAGAAGCAAAGCAAACCTGTTGCTTTTTCCAAACACCAAGTGTCAAGCACGCAGACCGGCCAGCTAGATGGGACACTTCCCACCAAAGCCCAGACTGCCAAAGCTACCAGCACTGTCGGCTGCACCCTTCACTGGCAACAGAGAGTACTTAGGCTTTACATTGACCATTCAACAACTACTGCAACCACTCAGTCTCATCCAGATTCAACATGCCAGGGCACAGTTGCTTGGAGAAAGCATTATTAGTGTTATTAGTACTATTATTATTTTGGGGAAAGAGAAAGGGCATGGCTGGAGTCCATGAAAACATGAGTTTTGCCTGGTGTAGGAAAAGTATCTATACTGCATACCTGAGAATTTGAATACTGTAACTAAGCAGCCAAGACAAACAGCAACTCAAAGCTTTTTGGCTTTTAACGTACCATTACAAGGCAGAAGCTTTTAAGCATTTACCTTAAGAGATGTCCACCAGGATTTGGACTGGATGGGTATCTATGGCACTCTAAAGGCTCTCCAAAGCAAGATCACAAGAACTGCATCGGCGCATCTGCTCCAAACATAAACGATCTCGGCACTAGTTGTTCCCATGTTGCTAGCCCTCAGTTTTTGGCAAGAAGCTGGTATTTATAGACCTCAGCCTATCACTAGCAGAAAAACAACTGCAGTCCTTTAGCATGAGCTACTGTTAAATTTAAGAGCCGGGGTAAAGGTTTATTTCCCTTTTCACCCTAGCAGCAACAAGGAAGCCGAAAGGCCAGTGCAACTGTGTACCTGAAAGCAGTTACTTCCTACATGCAAGTAAAATTTCCTAAGGCTATAATGAAGAGTAGTTATTGTGCCTCTAAAAATCAGATGGGAGGCAGAGGTGTTGGATAAACTGCAGGAAAAGACTTCCAAGGGTAAACTCCCAAATTATTTTTACAAGAAATGCCTCTTCCAAGCTATTTCGCAACCAATGCCTCACATTTCAGACTAAGCCCACTTTTAGGGGATCAGTATTCTTGAACACTCATCTGAAAAGGGTGGGATAAGGTAGTTGAAGACTCTTGAGGGACCAACCCACACAGGAAATTAGCACAGAAGAGCATGACTAAATAGTTGAGGCTTCATAAAACACTGGGCTTTGCAAAAATGACCACCCAGGATATCTTATTTTAATGTCTTCAGCAGAAAGTGCTTCCTCAAGTAGCAGAGAAAGGACAGCTCTTCAATCAAGTTCGTGGCACCATCTGACACGTGGAGAGTTTTACTCAAAGCCTCCTGCCCCCACTGTTATTTCTAGCACGGTTTGTGCTCTGCTGTCACTGCTAACCTGCCCCCTGCCCTCACGGCATGAACTACAGCATGTGGCAGAGTATCTGCAGGTTTATGACACGTAACTGACATATGAAAATGCAAAATACAATAAATCAGATCAAGCTAATAAAAAGGAGGTATTCTTACACTACTAGAAACAAAATAAAAGACAGATGTCCTCAGGTAAACTGCACAAAAACAGAACAGCAGGGACCCCTTACCTAGGGGTCCGTGTGTATTTCCTTTCTGCTGTCCCACCTCTCAATTTACATTAAAAGCAGAGAATGTGTTAAGATTGATTAGTTTTGTTCATCAATTCACTCAGGAGAACTTCACTGCCTTGGTACTCGGTATACAAGGACCCAGCACAGGAGGGAGTTGTGGGACAAGTCAAACAAGAAGTCAAGTCCCTTCTCTTATGAAAAAATTGTGAATCTTTTGAGCTGAGGGTTATGAATTGTAATTACTTTTGCAATCCAAGTAAGTATACAGAAAGACCTACAGCAGAAAATTATTTAGGCCTCCTTGGAGCCAGACTACTTGAATAAAAATCAAGAAGGGTGGCCAGTAAGTTAAAACACGCAGCTGAACTTTAAATGCTCTATCCTTGAACTCTGCTGAGGGCACAGTGAATGCCTTAACTTCCACCAACTCCGCTGAAAGTTCAAGGCAATTTTTATCCCTGACGAGGACAAAAATCTCTTTAAATACGCACACGATAATGCGCAACACTAATAAATATTACTTCATTTCATTTTTAGAACTGAACATACCCACTCAGCCTTTTACAAACATTTTTCTTTTCCTACTACGAGAGGCAAAATTTGTCAATGTTATGTTGGACTGAAGCATACGTGAAGTGAAACCTATATGCTCGCTCTCTCTTTAATGGATAAGCACGTTAGCCTGAGCTAACGAAGAAGCTTGCGGCCTTGGAAGCCATACTTGCCAGCTGTGCACACCAAGAGTTTAAATGTTACGGTCAGACACAGCTGGATTTCTCAGTCCAGCAGCTGATCCTCACACTAAAAATATCACTTGACATTGGCAACATTTTATTTAGTACTACTGGCTTGATAGAAGAGCACTGCAACGGTGGATACTTTTTTTTTTAAAGCTTTTAGGATTGTCAAATCCTTGGTCACGTTTTTAAAACTGGTTATGATCTTTACATAGGTTTCTTTACCTTTCAGTTTCATAAATAACACCACTTGCCTGCAAGATGGCTCCTTTCAGCAGTAGGCTGAGATAAGCCAATTCCATTTAAAAAGAACAATTCAGAACGTATTTTCTTGATGCATTTCACAGCAAGAAGGGGCTTATCTTGATAACTTTCAGAGAGGCCAGCTGAGCCGAAACACTTCTCCCCCTTACGGCTCTCTGCGTTTTACCCAGGTGCCACAGGACATTTGCAGACAGTTGATGCATTTACACAGCAAGTATTGCACAGTCCCAGACACCCACTGGGCGACCGACAGTGATTTCCCAATGCCTGCGAAGGCCCTCAGTCTCCTGCAGCATCCAAGTTCGTACAGCAGAAGACCTACTTGTGTTCTTTCTACAGGCAGTGTTACATTTGCTGATAGGCCTGCGTGGATTTATGTTAAGGAAACCTACAGGCACAGATATCATTACAGAAAGCACACATGCACCATTAGGAATATCAGAAAGGAGGAAA